AAATACAATTTCCTTTATAAAAGGGCCAAAAAACATATTTTTTAGGCATCTGTAGATTGTGTGGGCCTAAGCTGTAGCCTGTTTTAGCCTATAGTTAAATCAAAAACTGGTCCTATCCAACGCCACCGTCTTTTCTTCGCCTTTTGGTTCACTGGAACTTGTTTAGTTCTTCTCCTAAAGCTCACCATTATCGATTCCATCGTGACTGTCATCATCATCAAGTGCCTTGCCAGCTGGTTTAGACGTTCACGCGTCCCCACAGATCTCAGTCTTTGGTGTTCTGGATCAGTTTCACTGATGATATTCTTCCATGCCTATACTGATTAGCACTATACAAGTTTGTTACGTATCCTTTACAGGACATTGCAGAACCAAGACAGCATTTGTTTCGCTGTTGTGATTTTCCTAGGCAAGTTTACGTCCAGTAGTTTGTCATTGCTTCCTGGACGGTCGGATTCTCAATACCACTGTCGAATCCAACGCAGCTGGGATCGAACCCGACACCTTGGCATTACAAAGCGCGTTCGTAACGCCCTAAGCCACAAACGCTGACTATTATGACTTTACCGATTTGAAATAAAAATTGTCTTCTTTTTCTGTTTTTTTTTTTTTTTTACATATATGTATTACCGAAACGTCTATCCCACAAAGTGGTGCACTCTGAACAGCAAGGGGGGGGGGGAGGGGAGGGGGGGGGGCGCAGACTCTAAAAAGCCTACCATACAACTGATCCTTGCTAAGGGAAAAGAGTGTCGTTATGTTGCCCCTTGAGTTTCTCGCCCCGAGTCATCTCTCACCATTGTCTCGATCAATTTATGAAGAGACTCAATCAAAGTCTGACTATTGGTACGCTGCTCCGCGGCCATCTTGTTATCTTGGCGCAGAAAAACAGCACACGTTTTTCTTTCATAATTCCATCTTCCCAAAAAAAAAAAAAAAAATCGCTCGGTTCTTTTAAGTCCGTGCCTCGGTCGAGGAACTAAAATTGGATGAGTGCTTCTCAGTGGTGTTTCTCTATTGAATTCTACCCCACAATCAGGGATTTTTAATCAAACTGCATCTTTGTTTTCGCTCATCTTCGTGCGAATGCGTAGAAAGGCGGTGGTCGCTGCTTTCTGGCGGAAATCAGCTTGCGAGTTCACCTCATTATGTGAGAACACGCCCTCCGAGTTTGAAGATCAAACTCGTTTTCATCAATATTTGTACAGCACTCGATCGGGCCTCGGTGTCAGGGCGGCGCTACGACTCGGGTGTTCTCGTAGTCGCCGCGTATTTGCTTTATTCTAGTCAGAATTGTGGGCGTATGGGTTTATGTGTATTTTTATGTGTCTCTATGTGTAAAATCACAGGACATAAGGAGCCTCCTTTGGCAGTGGTGATGTGTCGCAAGCACGTGGTGGGAAATGATTTTGATTGCAAAGACTATTCACTGTTCTTTAAGGAACGTTAGGGAATAGTGGAAAACAAAGATCAATTTTCACGCCTTGGTGTGCATCGGGCATATGGGAAGAGCACCCATATTTTTAAAGACCATTCGGAACTAGGTGGGTAATATGGTCAGCATTACGCCGGCTGTCTTTACTTCCCAAGGACTTATATCCGTACCCATTTTAGGCTGGGTCAACCTGCGACGCCCCATACCATGATAAAAATCCACTAAGCCAGCGGGGGGTTTCGTTCGCGGTATGTTGGAATAACGAGTCGCTATAGTGGAAGGAGAGAGGGGGACAAAGTAGAAAATAGAATGATAAAATCAAGACATGGACATTACTACATATACTATTAAACATGGGTTCACCACGCGGAAGACAGAGAAAGATTTCGAAAATTTTATGCTATTGGTATCATTGATACACTTTTACGACCTAAGCCAAGGGCTATAATATGAATTCTATGTATGTGTGAGAGCCGCTGTGGCGTAGTGGCTAGACGATAGCTGCCGGCTCGAAGGTCCGGGTTTCAAATCCGCACCGAAGCGCATTGTATCTTTTACGCGGCCTTGCTATCTTCCTATGTGGGTTCCGTAGCTCCATTGTGGGGGAAGGGCTGGGGTGGTAGACGGGGGATGAGGACTAGGCCCAGTGCTTCTTTAACAAGCATGTCATTAGAGTTTTGTAATTAGGGATTTTCCATCGAAGTGGATTTGCCTGAGACAGGATTGGTACGAATAAGCCAGATCTGTAAAACGGATGAGCACGTAAAACTCAAGTTCTGGAGAGAGAAAAAAAAAGTATAGAAGAGGACAAACAACCAGAACAATCCGGCAGAGTTTACAGCCGGTAAATGCAACAAGAAGAAGGAGAAGAAAAAGAAGAAGAGGAAGAAGTAGAAGAAGAAGAAGAAGAAAGAAGAAGATGAAGAAGGAGAAGAAAAAGAAGAAGAGGAAGACGTAGAAAAAGAAAAAGAAGAAGAAAAAGAAGAAGAAGAAGAAGAAGAAGAAGAAGAAGAAGAAGAAGAAGAAGAAGAAGAAGAAGAAGAAGAAGAAGAAGAAGAAGAAGAAGAAGAAGAAGAAGAAGAACAATAATAATAATAATAATAATAATAATAATAATAATAATAATAAGAAGAAGAAGAAGAAGAAGAAGAAGAAGAAGAAGAAGGAGGAGGAGGAGGAGAATAAAGAAGAAAAAGAAGAAGAAGAAGAAGAAGAAGAAGAAGAAGAAGAAGAAGAAGAAGAAGAAGAAGAAGAAGAAGAAGAAGAAGAAGAAGAAGAAGAATAAGAAGAAGAAGAAGAAGAAGAATTTGATGAAGAAGAAGAAGAAGAAGAATAAGAAGAAGAAGAAGAAGAAGAAGAAGAAGAAGAAGAAGAAGAAGAAGAAGAAGAAGAAGAAGAAGAAGGAAGGAGAAAACACACTGTATTTACGTAATAATGAACTCCTTTATCCCAGTGGTGCACTGAACAGACGATGTTAGACTCACAGTGTATAGACCAACCGAAACTTGATGGTAAACATAACCTCGGCACCCATTATAGGGTGGGGCAACAACCATTATTGCCATTTAAGACACATGGATATTACAAAAGACAGCGAAAGAAGATTCGTAACAGTCTTTGTTATTGCATTAAATAATGTATGCAGAACACAAACCCCTAACGGAGTAAGGAAGATGGAGAAAAACATGATTATCAGCACCAGTCGGCTAAACACTGGATCATATTCACCAAATTATTTCCTTTAAAAAAAAAATAGCACGAAAGTTCTTGTATTTTCATTTTATACCCATTTTATTTTGTAAATTACTGAACATATTCTATGAATCAAGTCAACAGCGGACCGAAACAGACTGTTCAGGCGTTGATAACACAGTCTTTCACCAATATATTACAACGGGCCTGGATTATTACTACAGTCTATCAAATCTAGGCAGCTGAATATAATTCTCGGGTGTGACCAAATTAATTTTCGAACACGTTTCTTCGATTTTTGTCACATCTAATTTCCCCTACAGTTCCTGATTTTCCATCTCTTTCGTCTTTTCGCGGCAACTTACTTCCTTCAGCGATGTCTGAAGAGCAGTGAATAATTTTCCGTGGTTGCGGACAGCCATGTTTGTTTATAGGTCACAGGGTCTCTATTTCACGTGCCACCGGATATGAACATTCCCCTATTACAGGGCCGTCTAATTTACACGTGGTATCAATAGGCAGCCATCTCCCTCTGTCTTAATCCTCGCATGCAACGTAAACACGACCACTGTTATCTGTAGAAATATTTCTTAACAGGCGAGAGAACAAAAATAAGAAAAGAAGTAAGATGGCCAACTCGGCAATCAAAATCTGATGTTTGCTGAAACGTCATGCGATGAAAAAAAGTAATTGCCAACGAGTGTTTTGTTTATGTCCAAGTAAACGAACCAATCAGCGAGGGCTTTTACTATTTCTGCGAGAGCTGGTCAACTTGAGCGAGTCTTCAATCGTTTGCTTTACTCCAGCAAGGCGTCTTGCGAGCTCTTGTTCTGTGTCTGATGTTGTATATGAAAATATTGCCATATCGGCCCGTGATTGCAGAACAATATAGTCGGGGTCCAAGTTAAACACCGCTGCGGCTACTTTGTCGTGGTGAAGATGCGGCGAGTGCCGCAACCGGCCATGGAGTGATCAAACCGGAAATGATGACATTATGAAGAGACAAGCCCGTGACTTGAAAAATGAAAGGAAGAAATGGAAATTTTTCCCCCAATTTATTTTTCGTCTCAACCCCAATATCATCGATATATGAAGCTGATATCCTGAAGAATTTTAGAAACTTGAAATTAATAGGGCGATTTATATTTTGGGGATGGACACACATTTTGCTTACATTTGGTGGCACTTTCCCAGTCTTTCCAGCCCCTCTCTATCTTTTACAGGATTATGTATATCATGTTTCATATCATTTTCAGATATCTTATCCCGACTGTTTTTCTATTCACTAATGTGTTTGTCTGTCTGCATTGCTGTCAATATTCTTTCCCCCAGCCAGCGTGTCTATAATTTGTCTGTCACTTGATCCGGGGATTGGGGGGAGGGGATGTGGGGAGTGGGGGGGGGGGGAGCGCCGACGCTACGAATTAATCGAGGGTTTGACTAAAAGCAGTGCACTGCAGGCTAAACGCACAGATGCACAAAATGGTGGCTGCACGATCCGCTTAGTGTCTCTGCCGAAAGAAAAAGGTTGTTGCGTATCCTTTACAGGACGTTGCAGAACCAACCCTAACAGCCCCTGGCTGTTGTGTGGTTTCTCTAGGCAAACATACGTCCAGTAGTTTGCCAGTGCCTTACTAGACGGTCGGCTTTCTTGATACCACTGTCGAAACCAACGCAAGGCGCAAGGCCCGCAGCTGGGATCGATCCCGGCATCCCGGCATTACGAAGCGAAGCGTTCGCATCGACTTAGCCACAGAGCCGACTCTGCCGAAGCACACCCTAAAAGCAGGGCCAGATGGAATGAGCATCCAGGACAAACTGTAGGGAATTCTTTTTTTTTTTTTCCTAGAATAAAAACACTTTATTGTATTATTTATTTCTTGGGTTCGTCAATGTTTTTCAACAACTCTTCTCTTTTCTGTGCAATGCGATCTTGATGTCTGCGACGAGCCTCTTTAACATTCTGTCTACGAGCCTCAGCCTGGTCACTGAGGATCTTGGATTTGGACTTCTCTGCCCCTATCTTGGGGATGAACTCCATCAGTACACGCTTGTTCTTGAAACCATTACCATTGCACTTCGTGTACAGCTCGTGGTACAAATGCTTATTAATCTTCTTAGCCTCCCTGTACTTCCTAAACAACCTGCGCAGAACTCGCATGCGTCGGATACCAAGAAGCTTAGTTGGCATACGGGTATTTGCGGTACTTTTTCACTTGCCATGTCCCTTAGGACGTCCTTTGCGACAAGCCTCTGCATTCTTGCGAACTCTAGCACGAGAGTGAATCTTCACTGGCGTGCGGATGATCAAACCATCCTTTACAAGTTTCCTAATGTGTTGACGAGAGTTAGCATCGGCAATCTCATGTGCTTCGTTTGAATCCAACTAGATTTTGTTTTTTTTCCACAATTAGGCACCTTGGCCACAATATGCTTCTGAAGACGAAGGGTACTCATGGTACGGAGCTGGGCCGTAAAAAAACTAGACAATTCTCTGCATGGTCGGGTCGTGGCGTGTTAAAGGGTTAGAGCTGAAGTCGAGAGGATAGACTTTATTGCAGCCTGGTTTTCATCCCATATTGCTCGGTCTCTCTCTGCAAAACGGCTAGGCGCCCGCCGAGAGCATCACACAAAGCACCAATTCAGTAGCTCCGGTGATGATCCCCAGGGATCTCCGTAAAAACTACACTCGTCAACTAAAGGGCGCAGCCGTGGAATGAATCCACGACCTTCAGAGCGCGAGACAACGGCTTGACTACCTCGTCACGGAGACCCCATGCCGTGCGATGATACAGAGATGCATCAGACGGCACCGTAATGGGGCCGGGCGGCATAAGAAGTGAAATCAAAATACAGCTTGAACTTTTGATTTGACAGCGCGAAGCTATTAGGGGCGGCATTTTCGAAGAATTGCAGCTTACCGGGAGAATCTACCGCATGAGACTGATTCTTGCAGGCTTGCTTGCTGACGTGCCAGTTCTTGGAGTTAACACAGTTGATAACCTTGGCATATGAAGCCGATCGCTTAGAAGAAGAAGATGAAGCGGAATGCCTATTTAGCGAATCGAGCATCCCAGAAATAGCAAGCAGGCGATAAAGCCATCCTCATAAAACCTGAGACGGCAATAGACAATCTCCAGATCACAAAAGAGTGCACGCAACAGGAAGACCAGGCAGATAATTTGATCGCCTAATCTCTCGTGTGCGCCCGCACACCAATGGTGAAAACAAAACATACCACCATGAGAAATTTACATATTGCCCGATCCTGGGCCGAATCTGAGGTAAACATGGCCTTTACGACAAGCCGAGCACGGCATCTTTCCCGTGGTTTTTACTTTGCAAGAGATAGGTCACGTGCTCTTCAATTGCCATGGAGACGACGCCATGTTTACGTAGTCTACACTCGACAATGGTGTGATGGCAGCGGCAGATAATGCCTGGGACGAGGGTGATAAATAACTGTTATGTCTGAGAAACCACGTGATTAAATGGGAGGAGGTGAATGGAAAACACAACTTCCTCTCCATCTGTTTCATTACGATTGTAAAGGTAGGTGGAATGAACGAAAGAAGGAGCGAACGAACTTATTTTTAAAGGTTTTAGAACTGGGCATTCAGCCCCCATCTCATATTGTGTCCTTCTGCCCACTCCTTGCATCTTTTAGGCCATGCTTAATTATTTAAATGGATTGAGGAGGGGGTGGGGGGGGGGGGCGGCGTGTTTTCGAGGGATGGCGTCCGCCTCGAGTTCTGGAGATCCAGGAATTTTTTTGGTCTCTGGACTTCTAGTTATTCCCACTGGTCTCTGGGTAGTAGGATCGGACGCCGGTGTGTATTGTTACGTTTTGTTGCGATTTTAATATCTACCTAAAGTATTTGAGGATCCTCACCGGTGTTGCGGAGTTTGTGCACTGCACTGAGATTTTTGGACTCAGACGAGTTAGGAGTAGAACGGAGCACTTATGAGATACTACCCTTGTGACATGGTGTTGAACCGTTTTATAAACCTGAACCTATTCAAATGGCTTGATCACGTTATGAGAATGAATCCTGATATACCTGCCAAAACAGTTCTCAATGGACACCAGAGGGAAAGAGGAAAAAGGTGCCCAAAAAATCACATGGAGACGAGCGATGGAAAGTGACCTAAGTGTGGCATCTCTGACATGGAAAACTGCACTGCAGATTGCACAGGTCAGGAAAGCATGCAAAGTCCTATCTGAAGCCTTATGTGCCGTTAGGCATAAAGAGAACTGACTGACTGATGTATAATTTAGTAAGTAGCGTATCCTTTACAGGACGCTGCGGAAGCAACCTCAGCATTTTGTCGCTGTTGTGGTTTCTCTAGGCAAATTTACGTCCAGTAGTTTGCCATTGCCCCTAACGGTCGGCTTGTCGATACCACTGTCAAAACCAGTGCAAGGCGCGAAGCCCGCAGCTGAAATCGAACCCGGCACCCCGGCATTCGCAACGCCTAGGCCACAGACGCCGACATAAATCGAAGAAGGCTTTTCTACGCTCCCATGCATATTGGGCACATAGGGTTAGACCGATATTTTATAGACCAATCCACATTCGCTGGGTCATATATGGTCAGCATCACATCGACCGCCTTTACTTCCCAGGACATTCTCTGGTACCCATTTAAGGCTGGGTCTACCTGAGAGCTAAGGTCATTCTGAAACAAAGTCCGGTTCTATCAGGACCTGAGCTGACGACCTCAGGGTTAGTTGACAAGCGTCTAGCCGCTACATCAAGGCGGCTCCCCGTTTGTACATTTAATAATAAAAACGTCAGTAACACGTAAGTTACAAATGCACGAATTTGCTTTAAGTGCACCTACATATATAAATAATAATAATAATAATAATAATAATAATAATAATAATAATAATAATAATAATAATTACCTTCCTCTATTTCTCAGCATTGACTGGATGTAAACTCTAGCGGACACTTCTGGTTGTTCGTCAACTTCTGGACTTGAAAGTCCTGCCAGAAAACCTGATTTTGTGTGTGCACATTTGTTGTTTGTTATCTGGCCTACTTGTATGCAGACTGTTGGTTTCTTGCTGCTTAGGCAGATGCGCTCCGACTTTGGAGAATAAATATCTAATTAGTCTCTTTGTCGACAGGCTTGTTATAGAAGTAGTGGATCTAACAACCCACCCCCCCCCCCCCCCAACCCCTCACTCTGCAAATAGGCTTTGGAACACGTACAAAAAATAATAGCAAATACAGCGATCACCTGATAAGGAGACCTCACTGGGGATCTAAATATGCTCGTGTGCCATTTCAAAATGTTGAAAAATGTTCCAGCTTCGCCCAGTGTTGTGTGGGTTATGAGGCTCAAAATGGGGTTAAGAATTAGTGGACCCTTACGACATGCTTTTGGGTAGGCAGTGGGCTTATTCTTGTTTTCTCTATAATAGGGCCCTGGATCCCACACATTGATGTATTCATTTAATTATCATTATCATCATCAAGTGCTTTGCCAGCTGGCGTAGGCGTTCCTACATCTCCACACATCTCTGTATTTGGTGTTCTGGATCACTTTCATGATGACATTCCTACATGTCACTGTCCTAAGCCATCCACCATCTTTCTCTTGGTCTGCCTCTGCCTCGTCTACTTGTGATATTTTCAGGCGTCACGATATTTCCTGGTGCTTCTTTTCTCAACACCAAAGAACTGTGTCTGTCTTGTTCTCATTGTCGTATATAAGAGTTCTACTTTCATTAGCCATTTCCAGGCATTCATTGTTAGTTATTAAGACAGTCCAAGGTATTTGCAGCTTTCTTCTTAAGAATCACATATCAGTTGCCTCCCAACTCTTCTTAATTTGACTGTTTTAAACTTCTGTTATAATTAGGGCTGTACCGAATATTCGCTTCGTATTCGCTTCGGGGCCGAATAGTTGACCTATTGACTATTCGGTATTCGGCCGAATAGTTGCGGTCGGGCCGAATACGAATAGTAGTTACCTTACACACACTTCTGCATACACGGCCTTAATACTGACAACATGGAACGATTAGTTTTGTTGAAAGCTAATGCAGCTTTCATGCATTAACTAAGCTGTCAGTGACAATTTCCAAGTTTAGTTACTTGTTATAATACTTAGGATTCTTTCATTCCTAGTTATTAGTTACCACAGACTGACTGAAGGATGCGAAACATAAAATGTTTTTAAATGTTTACTATTCTGTACGAATACTAACTAGACATGGAAAGAATATAAACTCCGGCCACATCCAAGTCGATAATGTGAAGATGAAACGAACGGAAACATATAAATACTTGGGTGCAAACCTCAACTGCTCTAACATGCTGAGAGAAGAAATACAGGTACTTAATTTATAACTTACCCCTAACGTCACGACAACGTCACGGGAGACATTCCCAATAAATTCTGGGGTGGTCAGGATGTAGTTTCTCGCGATTTCTCTACAGCCAAGTTTAGGGTTAGGGTTAGGGTTAGAAGACACTAGATGAAAACTAAAAAAAACACCACACAACAGCACACTTGCACCCCTTGAAATAATGGACTGTCAGGTCAGCTGTGGATTTCCCACGGGAATTTCGTGTTTGGGGTACGTTATAAATTAAGAACCGAAATACCATCTAGAATACAATCTAGAAATAAAAGTATACTATGCCCTTTAACATCTGCTAAAGTCAAAGTGTCTGTCTCGCAACAGCAAGATCAAAATATATAAAACGTGGATAAGACCAGTCGTTTTATATGGCTCTGAAACTTAAAGCAAAAATGAAAAAGATGAGGCCTTATTACAGGTTTTCAAAAACAGTCTTACGACAAATCTTTGGACCCATCAAAGATGCAAACAGCGGGAAATGGAGAGTGAGAAGCAACAACGTAATACATAATCTGTTTAAATCACCATAGATCACTGGCTTCATGAGAGCTAACAGACTACAATGATTGGGGCATATTGAAAGAATATCAGATGACAGAGAAGTAAAACTGTATACACCTGAGAGAGGAATGGGTGTAGACCACGAGGCAGACATAAGAGAAGATGGAGAGATAATGTCCAGCCAGACCTGCAAACAACTGGTGTCACAAATTGTGAAGAGAAGGCCAGCCAGACTGATGAATGGAGACGAGTGATATCTGCAGCAGTAAACCTCAAGGGCTCAGAATGCTAAAGAAGAAGATAACTATTCTGTGCTACTTTATGTGAAGTAAAAGTTCAGCGTACATTTGTCATTATGAATGTGTGTGTATGTGGTATTTCTTACACTATTCACTATTCGTTTTCGTATTCGGCCGAATAGTTTGTCCTGTTATTAGTATTCGGCCGAATAGTGAAAATACCTATTAGGTACAGCCCTAGTTATAATAACAGTTTACATTTCCAACAATAATTCTGTATGACCTTGCACAAACTGTCAGGGCAGGACTTAATTACCTGTATATTATTTTACC